AATTACAGTGAATGATATGTAAACAAGTCAGTACTTTGATGTGGGTCCAATTACAGTGAATGATATGTAAACAAGTCAGTACTTTGATGTGAACCCAATTATAGTAAATGATATGTAAACAAGTCAGTACTTTGATGTGGACCCAATTATAGTGAATGATATGTAAACAAGTCAGTACTTTGATGAGAACCCAATTATCAAAGTACTGACTTGTTTACATATCATTCACTATGAGAACCCAATTATAGTGAATGATATGTAAACAAGTCAGTACTTTGATGAGAACCCAATTATAGTAAATAATATGTAAACAAGTCAGTACTTTGATGTGGGTCCAATTACAGTGAATGATATGTAAACAAGTCAGTACTTTGATGAAAACCCAATTATAGTGAATGATATGTAAACAAGTCAGTACTTTGATGTAGACCCAATTATAGTAAATGATATGTAAACAAGTCAGTACTTTGATGTAGACCCAATTATAGTAAATGATATGTAAACAAGTCAGTACTTTGATGTGGACCCAATTATAGTAAATAATATGTAAACAAGTCAGTACATTGATGAGAACCCAATTATAGTAAATAATATGTAAACAAGTCAGTACTTTGATGTGGACCCAATTATAGTAAATGATATGTAAACAAGTCGGTACTTTGATGTGGACCCAATTATAGTGAATGATATGTAAACAACTCAGTACTTTGATGAGAACCCAATTATAGTAAATGATATGTAAACAAGTCGGTACTTTGATGAGAACCCAATTATAGTAAATGATATGTAAACAAGTCGGTACTTTGATGAGAACCCAATTATAGTGAAGGATATGTAAACAAGTCAGTACTTTGATGTGGACCCAATTATAGTAAATGATATGTAAACAAGTCAGTACTTTGATGAGAACCCAATTATAGTAAATGATATGTAAACAAGTCAGTACTTTGATGAGAACCCAGTTATAGTAAATGATATGTAAACAAGTCAGTACTTTGATGAGAACCCAATTACAGTAAATGATATGTAAACAAGTCAGTACTTTGATGAGAACCCAATTATAGTAAATGATATGTAAACAAGTCAGTACTTTGATGGGAACCCAATTATAGTAAATGATATGTAAACAAGTCAGT